TAAGAAATAATATTACACTGACCTTGTAATGATTTTCACAAATTATCAAACTTGCAAAATGTAACAATGGAGAAGATGAGTTATTCTAAGAAAAGATGGGTAGATAAAAGAGAATAATAAATATTAGGAAAAAGAAATATATACACAAAAGTAATAAACACTGAAAAAATGCATATAAAGTAAGAAATAATATTATGAGCACAAAAATGGAAAAGATGAAAAAATGTATAGATGAACTGAAAAATATTGAGAAATAGAAATATACACACACAAAGTAACAAACACTGAAAAATGCATATAAAATAAGAAATAATATTACACTGACCTTATAACGATTTTCACAGATCATAAAACTTGCAAAAAGTAACAATAGAAAAGATAAGTTATTATGAGAAAATAAGGGTATATAAGAGAGAATGATTGAATTTAACTGGAATAAACTAAATAGAGAAACATGTATATGGGAGTTGTAGGAGTTGTGAGTTTCATTTTTTTAAATAATGTGATATTAAATTGAGAGTGGGATAGATATTATTGTGGTGATGGATACTGATGAAAATTTTATCATCTATTTTTATTTTTATTTTTATTTTATATTTTATATTTTATAAAAGGGGAAGGAGTGAGAAGGCCTGAATAGGGGGAAGAAAGGTGTCACGTTGTTTTTTTTTTTTGGGGGGGGGAATTTTGAGAATTTAGGAATGAATATTTAGAGGCTTTTGACAAAATAACTACATTTGGTTATATATATAGTATAGTTGAATCAATAATATCATGTGGTTATATTTTAAAATTTACTTTGATTTAATTACGATAAATTAAATGTTTCAAAGACATTATCATATTGATCAATTCTAATAATTCTATAACATGTGTATTTTTATAATTTCAAAAAAATTAGCATTAGGATCTTGAGCCTCAAAATCATACCACGTTTTTTTTCTTATATAATATTATAGATTAAATTGAGTTTAGATTTTATCTATTTATATAAATATGGGTGTAGAGGGTTAGAAATTAAAGTCCAAATTAAATATGGACCTAAATGCAAAGGTCGCCCCTGTTAGGTGACTAGGAATGATTAAAGGAGCATGGGCTAAAGCCCAAGGGAAGTGGGTCAATAGTGGGTCGAAGCAGGTCCAACCCACCAAGGGTCCAAGCGAACCCAATGAGGGGAAAATTTCTAAGTCAAGTTGCAGAGGCAGCACTTGTAGTGGTCAAGTTGCAAAGGTTCTTTGTCGGCGCCACCATCTCTAATATTGTCAGTGCCGCTATTTGAACTTGCCACGAGAAATAGCCGTCGTAGTAACTACAATCGTCACAACTAACTTGCGGAGGGAAAACCCCACCAAGGTGATAGCAACCTTTGGGAAGAGCTTCCGTCCACAAACAGAGGCAAGTACTTGGTGCTGATAGCAGGCCCCAAAGCCTACTGGTTGGAGCTGATAGCAGGCCTAGAGATACCAGTATACTGCGGTAACTTCTGCTTCTGATGAGAGTCCAGGTAATTTTGAATCTCGTGAGTCCATTGATCTTGATGTTCCTATTGCCAAGAGGAAGGGTGTGAGATCTTGTACTCAACATCCTATCTCACAGTTTGTATCATACTCTCATTTGTCATCCTCATATAAAGCATTTGTGTCCAATATTTCCTCTGTTAGCATACCTAACCATTTTCAGGATGCTCTTGCTACCTCTGAGTGGAAACTAGCCATGATTGAGGAAATGAAAGCACTTAGGAAGAATGACACTTGGGAATTGACTGAGTTACCTACGGGCAAACGACCTGTGGGATGTAAATAGGCATATACTGTGAAACACAAAGCAGATGGGTCTATTGAGCGTTACAAGGCAAGACTTGTGGCAAAAGAGTTTACTCAGACATATGGCATTGATTATCAGGAGACCTTCGCACTAGTGGCTAAAATGAATTCAGTCAGAGTACTTCTCTCTCTAGCAGCTAATCTAGATTGGCCGCTTTATCAATTTGATGTCAAGAATGCTTTTCTCCATGGTGACCTCGAAGAAGAAGTATATATGGACATTCCTCCGGGTTTTGAGGATCATCAAACAGAAGGCAAAGTATGCAAACTTCGGAAGTCATTATATGGTCTCAAACAATCTCCAAGGGCTTGGTTTGAAAGATTCACTCAGGCTATGTTTAAATATGGTTTCAAACAAAGTCAGGCAGATCACACATTGTTTGTGAAACATTCCTCACGCGGTAAGACTACAGCACTTATTGTTTATGTAGATGACATAGTTCTTACAGGCAATGATAGTGAGGAAATACCCCTGTTGAAGAAATATTTAGCTAAAGAATTTGAAATCAAAGACTTGGGAAGCTTGAAGTATTTTCTGGAAATTGAAGTTGCTCGCTCTAAGGATGGGATATTTATCTCACAGAGAAAATATGTACTTGACCTGTTGAAAGAAACTGGGATGCTTGGCTGTAAGGCATGTGCCACCCCACTGGAACCCAATCAGAAATTGGGGGATGATGAAGGAGGAGAAGCTGTGGATAGGGGGAGCTATCAACGATTAGTGGGTAAGCTCATTTACCTATCTCACTCCCGTCCTGATATTGCTGTTGCTGTCAGTGTAGTTAGTCAGTTTATGCATGCTCCTCATCAGATTCACTTTGATGCTGTCATGAGAATCTTGAGGTATTTGAAGTCTGCTCCTGGTAAGGGTCTGTATTTTTCAAAGTATGATCATCTTCGTGCAGAAGCCTATACAGATGCTGACTGGGCTGGGTCAGTAACTGATAGGAGATCAACTTCAGGGTATTGCACATTTGTTGGCGGCAACCTAGTTACTTGGAGGAGTAAGAAACAGAATGTGGTTGCCAGGTCAAGTGCAGAAGCTGAGTTTAGAGCTATGGCACAAGGTGTGTGTGAACTTTTATGGATCAAATTATTGTTGCGTGATCTAGGTATTGATCAGACGGATTCCATGCGGTTATACTGTGATAATAAGGCCGCCATCAACATCGCTCACAATCCAGTTCAACATGACAGGACAAAACATGTTGAGATTGATCGCCACTTCATTAAGGAGAAACTCACTAGTGGTACCATTTGTACTCCTTTTGTCCAGTCTGGTGAACAACTTGCTGACATTCTCACCAAGGGGATTGGGAATAAACCATTTCATGACATATTAGGCAAGCTGGGCATGAGAGATATCTTCGCACCAGCTTGAGGGGGAGTGTTAACATATTATATTAGCCGAAAGTTTCACTAAGGTCTGTCTGTAATCATTTTGTGCCCTCAGGGATTATCTTGTAATTGACTTTCTTGTAAACCCTAATCTTCATTTATAAATAGGGGGGTGATATTCTATCATACCCCTAAGCTGGTTACTCAAGCTTCAAAAAGGATATCAACTTTCTTCATTCTACACTCAACCAAATGGATTAAGCTATGTAGAACAACAGGCAGAAATGACATGGTTCACCCGTAACTAAAACTCCACTGGTTGTAATTAATTTCCACCCCCCAAACCCCCAAAATCTAACAAAAAGAACATATCAACAAAGAAATGAAAGCCACGAAGCTACAAAAAAATTTGTTGTCCCATGAGGCAAGCATAAGGGACAAAAAAACCAAGACTTAAATCAGTCAAGTTTTGTGTTGGCTATTCTTCGAAGCTCGGAAAAAGTTATTAAAACCTAAAGCTTAGGTTCTAGGAAAGCTCAAAATTCCCTACCCACAAGGCCCCAAAATCAAAAGTATGAGCATAAAAGGTCTCAAACATTAAACAAATAGATTAACCATTCTTTTACTATTCTAATAAAAATCCATGTTAAGACTATTGAAGAACCTGGAAGTGCACAACGACATAGAAAAATAGCGATTATTCATGAATGCATGTATTATGCTTTCTACAGAAATTGATCGAACCTTGGTGGAGTAAACGCGTTCATGAGATTCATCAAGAATTATATTTGTAGCTTGGTCAAAACCTTTTAACACTCCCTGAGGAGAAACTGTAACAGTTAGTACAACTACTTTATTTTTTAAAAAAAAACTGCAACGAGGTCCAAACTGCAGAACTCACCACTATATTGCGCCCATCATTTGTAATGATAGAAATTGTTTCTACAAAAAAAAAAAATATATAAAAAATAATAAATAAGACAGTTTTAGCAAGATAATAAAAGTACGCCACAGAGACCTGGTAATTTAGCAAAGAAAATTTTGGATTCAGGAGAAAATCATAGACCACTCAAGAAAAAAAATCAAAATGCAGAATACGTGCCAACTTTTTTTTTTTTTTTGAAAAAAAAAAATAATAAAAACAAGCAATTAAAACAATAGAAGTAGATGATGACATATTAAAACAGGTATAGGGATTGCATACGATCACAAGGATTCAAGCCCAGCCCCACTGACATTTTGTAAACTCCAACAGAAATTACTAGCTGAATGCTTACCAGACTTCTGGCACACAAAAAATAAATAAAATCAGCTTACATTTTCTTCAAGAGAACTTGCTGATGGTTCAGATAGAAAGTTCAACATGATAAAAAACAATGGTATTATTAATAAAAATTAAAAAACCAAAATAATAAACAATAAAGAATAAATAATAATAGTAATAAATGTGATCGCTTTCACAGCAATCTAACTTATTAGTTCACTTATGCTCTGCACATAGTCACTCCCACCAAAGATATATTTTTTATTTATTTAGAATAGATATTCCATTAACGAAGAAATTAAGTGGAAAAACAAAAGAAAGGAATTAACCAAACCCCAATCAAGAACAAACAAAAGAAAAAAATACTCTTATCTAGACAGCCAATCACTAATCCCTGTAGGCCCTGAAATTAATGACCGGGCAAACCTCTCATGACCGACTTGAACTTGAGAACTAGGATTTTATCTAAGGGTTTTTAGCACTTAGCCAATCCCTAGGGTTAATTGAATGTACATAATTTGAATGTGTAAACAATCCCAAGCCTCAAAAGTAAGGGTTTCTACAAGGATCACAACCAGTTTAAAATTCAACCAAACTCTGTATGGAATTTGCACCTTTTTGGGTCCATAACACTATGAAGTGTATCCCCAAAAATGGTCCAACACAAGAAATTTGCAAGGGCAAGCAACAGGGTTTCCTATAGGCAACTGCAAGAGCATTGTGTCAAGGTTTCTAAAGCCAAATGAACAAGGCACACACTTGAAAAGTACATAGAAGAGTCGATAGATGTAAATACTCTTGCAATGCTTCCTAGAATTGGAACACCAAATAAATGGCTCAAAACGGAACTCGAATATAGGGGGTTCAGGCAGGTTTTGTCAAGGTCAAGAAACCTCCTCAACCCATAACAAAACCATCCTCAGCTCTCAAGTCGGATTGCTCAAATCTGAAACCAACCAGTGCGAACCCAAAAACCAATCCCCTATCGGGTAAACAAAAACTGAGAAAGATTGATGGCAATTTAGTTTGGGAATTTTATCGAACACTAGGCGTGTCAAATTCAAAACTGAGTCATTTCTCTGTTCCCACATGTGTGTTGGAGCTGTCAGAGGAAATCAAAAAGAAGAAATTCATACATACCGAGAGAGAGAGAGAGAGAGAGAGAGAGAGAGAGGCGACCAGACCACTGCTTGGGGTGTTCGTCGATCCCTGTGGCGGGCGATATGAATGGATTGTTGTAAACCAATAAAGTGGGACGTAACCGTGACAAGTATGGCTATTTCCAGGGCATGTGTACGACCTTTCACGCTAGCTTATAATTGTACATCATTCTATCAGCAGCTAAAACTATCCTTACCAAGGCTGCGTAAAATATCCAATAATCCATTGAAATTGTACAATGCATATTAATCTAGATGGCTCTATTCGTTAACTATGATTTAAATTTCAGAATTTATAATTTCCATTCGAAATCGTTCTGCTCTACTATCGTTAATATATATATATATTTTAACCTATAATGAAATATTAAAATAAAAGCAAGCATGAAAAATATTAAATATGTGAAATTTATTATAAATTAGTGATTATATATATAAAAAAACATTATGTAAAATTAGTTTGTATTAAATATATAAAAAATATTTATATAAATTAGTGTTATATATTATACAAAGGCTTAATAATTGGTTAAAATATTCTTCAATCCGTCCAAAATCGCTCAAAACGCAATTTGTCAATCCACTAATCCGCTAATTTTTTGGATAACCCTAAATGCCCGCCAATTGCTTAGACACTAACCAAAAATTTGAATTTTATTTTATTTTTGTTGAGTACCCCAAATCATTTCAATTTTATGCCCATTCACTAATTAATCGTCATTCGTCATTGGAGTCATCTTGCTGACCAGTCCCATTCGTTTTCTGATGTCGCTCCTCCACCTATTCCTCTCAAACCCTAACCCCACCACCCACCATCCATCATCACCAACAGAGAAAGAGAGAGAGAAAGAGATGGGGGGTCATTGTGATCAGAGAGGATGGCAAAAATACCAGATCTAATAGGGTGATTTTGCAATCGAGAGTCACAACTAGCGCACGAAAGGCAAGTTGTAAAGGGTGGTAAGTGGGTGAGGTTTTGCGATCAGGAGTTGTGCTTGGCCAGAACGGGTTTGTCGAGAGTTGTAAAGAGGAAAATGAAAGGTTCGTGTGTGGCAGAGAAGCTTAGGATCTACCAACGATGATGACAACGGTGGGGCAATGGAAAAAAAGGGACTAGGGGTTAACGACAACGGTGGGGCAATCGAAAAGAAGGGACTAGGGATTAACGAACGGAGGTTACGATGATAGGACATGCTGGTAAGAGGTTGGGGGTGGCGACTGTTGTGCCTAGGAAGCAGAAAATAATCACACACAAGCACGCAAGCAAGAACACACAAAGATTTATGTGGTTCGGCAAATCACCTACGTCCACGGGCAGCTGATTTCACTATATTTGGAACAAAGAATTACACACTCTATAATTCTCTCTCTGCTCTGTATTCTCTCTTCAACTCACCACACTGACCCCCTTCCATTCACTAACTATTTGTAGATGAAATGGAGAGCCAAAGTCTTCAACAAGCCACTGACAACATTTATAGCAACCACCAACAACCAACAAGATTACACACCCTACCATGAGTAGCTCGGCTGAAAATGTCCAGCTTCTTCAATTTTTTCTTCAATCAGTAGCCATTGTTGACAAAGGAAAACAAAACAAATCTGAGCCAATCTTCAACAAATCTCTAGCTTGGCGAGGATTCTCTATCCAACATAGTGATCGATCAATAATGCCATGCACCCGAAGCTGCTCAGTTCCGAGAGATGTTGACCAAGTCCAAACAGTGTTGGAACTTAATCCTAGAAACCACTTTTGTGAGCATATCGATTGGAGTAAAATATCCCTTTCATTCACAATTTCTCGAACGAAATGGACACGAACATCAATGTGCTTGGTGCGGGAATGATGAACCTGGTTCTTTGCCAAACAAATGGCACTCTGATTGTCACAGTACACCTCAATGTGCTTCTGAACAATACCCAAGTCCTCAATCAACCTATGTAGCCAACTAGCTTCCTTAAAGACTTCTGTCACTGCCATGTACTCTGCCTCTGTAGTAAACAAAACCACTGTTGACTGAAGCGTTGACCTCCAACTCACCAGCCCTTTAGCAAGCGTAAATAAATACCCTGTTGTTGATCGGCGTTTGTCCAAGTCACCAGCATAATCTAAGTCCACATATCCAACCAAATTTTGTCTGAGTCTATGATCTCTCTCGAACTTCAAACCCATATTAACTGTGCCATGTAAGTACCTTAAGAACCATTTCATTGCCTGCCAATGACCTTTCTTCGGATCATGCATATACCTGCTTACCATACTCACAGCATGTGAGATATCAGGCCTTGTACAAACCATAGCATACATTAATGCACCAACTGCATTTGCATATGGAACCTGTGCCATATGCTTCCATTCTTCTTCTGTGCTTGGAGATATCGAAGCACTAAGCTTGAAATAAGGGGCCAATAGTGTACTCACAGCTTTTGTTTTTTCATTTATGCCAAATCTGTCTAATACCTTTTTCAGATACTGGGTTTGTGTCAGACAAACCGTGCCCTTCGTTCTGTCTCTTTTAATCTCCATGCCAAGAATTTTCTTTGCTTCGCCAAGATCCTTTATTTCGAACTCTCTTGCCAATTATGCCTTGAGTTTGTCAATCTCTAACTTGTTCTTAGATGCAATTAGCATATCATCTACATATAAGAGCAAATAGATGAAGGAACCATCAGAAAGCTTACGAAAATATACACAATGATCATATTGACTTCTTGTGTATTTCTTTTCTGTCATAAACCGATCAAATCGCTTGTACCACTGTCTTGGAGACTGCTTCAAACCGTACAATGATTTCTTTTATTTGTAAGCCCAATTCTCTTTTTCAGCAACTTTGAAACCATCTGGCTGGGACATGTATATCTCCTCTTTAAGATCTCCATGTAAGAAGGCAGTTTTGACATCGAGTTGGGTGAGCTCGAGATCAAACTGTGCAACCAAAGCTAGCAAGATACGAATAGACGTGTACTTCACAACAGGTGAGAATACCTCATTGTAGTCTATTCCTTCCTTCTGAGCATAGCCTTTAGCTACCAATCTAGCTTTGAATCTGATGTTGTTTTTGCCTGGGATGCCTTCCTTCTTGGTATAAACCCACTTACACCCAATCGCTTTCTTGCCTTTTGGAAGTTACACCAACTCCCAAGTCTGGTTCTTGTGAACTGACCCGATCTCTTCATCCATAGCCTCCTTCCATTTGACACTTTTTGCATTCTGCACGGCTTCTTTGAAAGTGCAAGGAACATTATCTTCAATGATTGAAAGTGCATAGGCCACCATATCAGTCATCCAACCAGGTTGTTTAATAACTCTTTTTTCTTTTCTGATTGCAATGGGTTCTGATTGTTGTGGGCCCTCTGGATCTTCATTCTCATTTGAACTCTCTTCAGGATCTTCTTCAGAGCTATCAACTGAAACTTCTTCAAGATTGTTGCCTGTCTGAACAGTCTTCACTGGAGTCTCAAACTCCAACTGCACTGACTTCTTCAATGCTTCATCATTTTCTTTAGGATTTGGTTGCTTCAGCATTGTAGACTCATCAAGGGTAACGTCTCTTCTAGTGACAACTTTCTTTGATTCAGGGCACCAGAGTCTTTATCCCTTGACACCATCACTGAAGCCCAAGAAAATAGCTTTCTTGGCTCTAGGATCCAACGCAGATTCTGTAACATGAAAATAAGCTGGACATCTAAAGATACATAGCTGATCATAATCAGTAGCTGGCACTCCTGACCATACCTCATGGGAGTCTTGTCATCTAGTGCTGCAGCAGGTAGTCATTTGACAAGATGACGAGCATAGTTCAATGCCTTGCCCCAAAATGCCTTGCTTAATCCTGAATGTGACAGCATACACTGGACTTTCTCCACCAAAGTGCAGTTCATGCATTCTGCAACTCCATTTTTGCTATGGCGTTCCACTAACTGTGAAATGTCTCATTATCCCTTCATTCCGGCAAACTTCAAAGAAGGGATCTGATGTATATTCGCCGTCATTGTCTGATTTGAGCTTCTTGATCTTCCTGCCTGTCTGGGTCTCAATCATTTTCTTCCACATAAGAAAGATGTCTAATACTTCATCTTTATGCTTTATTGTGTAAACCCATACTTTTCTTGAGAAATCATCAATAAGCGACACAAAGTAATGTTTACTTCCCAAAGAAGCATTCTTGGAAGGACCCCATACATCGGTGTGAACGTAGTCTAGAATCCCTTCGGTACGATGAATAGTAGTACCAAACTTGATTTTTGTTTGCTTGCCCAGTACACAATGCTCGTAGAACTCAAGTTTCCCTATTTTGGCGCCTTTCAACAGTCCTTTTTTTACCAACCCTTGTAAAGATTTTTCTCCAGTATGCCCTAAGTGCATGTGCCAAAGTCTGGAAGTGTCTGATGCATCATCTTCTGAGCTGGTGAAGACAGCCACTCTCCCTATGACTGTAGAGCCGTCTAGGAAATATAAATTTCCCTTCCGAGTACTCTTCATTGCAACAAATGCTCCTCTAATAACTTTGAGGACTCTACCTTCCACAGTTACTCTGTAACCTTTGGAATCTAAAATTCCTACTGAGATGAGATTCTTCGTCAAATCTGGTACATACCGAACATTTTCAAGAATTCTGATTCTTCTATCATACATCTTCAATCGAATTTTTCCAATCCGCTTTGTTCTGCAAGCTTGGTCATTGCCCATCAACACAACTCCTCCATCAAACTCTTGAAAGCTCGAGAACCACTGCTTGTTAGGACACATGTGGTAGGAACATTCAGAATCTAGAATCCATTCATTAGACTGGCCATGTGATGAAACTATGAAGGCTGATCTTTCACCATTATCTCCATCTCGTGCAACGTTCACCTTTTCTTCTTTCTTGTCTTTATTGGGACAATCTTTTGCCCAATGTCCCTTCTGGCGACATGCAACACACTCATCTTTTGCAAGACGTTTTCTATCTGATGACCTCCCTCTAGATTTTGAGCGAGACTTTCCCCATCCTGTATGTCTTCTGTTATTCGTCCTGCCTCTGACTGTCAATACTTCTGATGCTGAATCCCTGTTTATAGACTTATATTTCCTTCTGAACTCATTATTTACCAAGGCGTTTAAAACATCAACGTACTTGATCTTTTCTTTACCATACAGTAAAGTGGTGGTGAGATGATCATATATATTAGGCAAGGAATTCAACAATAACAGTGTTTTATCTTCATCATCAATTTTAACATCCAAGTTTTTCAAATCGGCAATAATTTTGTTGAAATTATTCAAGTGTTCGTTCATCGAAATACCTTTCTTGTAGTCGAAACGAAGAACGTCTTCTTCAAGTAGAGCCGGTTCTCAATGCTCTTTGTTATGAACTTGTCTTCCATCGCCTTTCAAAGCTCCTTCGCAGTATCATATTCTGTGAATGCGTACTTTTCCTCTTTTACAAGGCAAAGTCGGATGGAACTACAGGCCAAGAGATTCACTTTCTCCCATTCTATCTCGTCCAAGTCATCTGGTTTGTCTCCCAGAGTGAAATGTAGGTTCATCTGGACAAGCATATCTTTAATTTCATATCTCCACATGCCGAAGTTGCTACAATCAAACTTCTCTACCTCGAACTTAGCGTGGGACACGAGGATCCAATGTCCAATGCTGCTTGTAACTGCGAGGCTACTTGTAGACTCGGCTAATCTCCTCTCTGTAGATTCTGCCATTGAGACTTTTAAAAAAAGCTCCACCACAACAATAGCGGATGCTTGAAATGCCGGAGATACGACAACTTCTAAGCTCTCGAAAAACTTCACTGAAATTTCGGGTCCGAATCTCAAAACAAAGGAATCCGCGGTTGTGTCCGGAATGGTTGATTTAGCTAGGAAAGTACTTTCTCCACCTCTCTAGGGACCTCAATGAAATTTCTCTAAATTTAGGGGCCAAATTGCAATTTCTCAAAAATCTAGGAAAGTTACTGTAATTTACAGAAGTTTCAGGGGCTAAATTGTAATTTCAGCAAGATTAGAGACTGAAATGTAATTTACCAAACTTTCAGGGACCTCCTTGCAATTTCAAAAATTTTGGCTGACTAGGATGTTGACGTGGCAGATGTGCTGATGTGGAGATGACGTGGCAGTTGAGCTAGCGGTGACATGTCTCGACACGTGGCAGTGACTTGGCAGGCTGAGTGGGACGCTGACGTGGCAAATATGCTGATGTGTCAATGACGTGGCAGTTGAGCTGGCGATGACTTGTCTCGACATGTGCTTCAAACATGGCAGTGACTGGGCTGACACTTGGCGCTGATGTGGCGTGATGTGGCGGCGACGTGGCAGCTTCCAAAAATAATTTGGAAATTTGTATGTGATGAGTCTTGAACCCTTGACCTGAAGGTGTTGAACTAAGGCTCTAACCACTCTGCCAAGTGTTAACTTATGCTATGTTAATGCACAAGTGAATACTTAAAGCCTTTAGGATAGGTTGACTTCTTTGCCGAACTGAACTTTCCGGCAAGTCTCTGGCATAACTTCGGCAAGCGCGTGAAGGCGCATAAAGTGTCCTCGTGGGTTGGTCTTTTTGGGTCCGAACTCCGCTCGTTGAGTAGGTCGTCGTGGTATGCTGAAAACTCGATTTCGACAACTTCGAAATTTTTAGTTTACAGAAAAACACTCTATTTTTCGCATAACAATGCTCTGATACCAATTTGTTGTGCCTAGGAAGCAGAAAACAATCACACACAAGCACACAAGCAAGAACACACAAAGATTTACGTGGTTCGGCAAATTGCCTACATCCACGGGCAGCGGATTTCACTATATTTGGAACAAAGAATTACACACTCTATAATTCTCTCTCTGCTCTGTATTCTCTCTTCAACTCATCACACTGACCCCTCCCTGTAGCAATCCCGATTTTGACCCGCCTCTTGTGGTGTTCCGAGTTCAAGTTAGTATGGTTTTGAACGGTGTTACGTATCTTAGTTTCCCTTGTATTCCCTTTTGTGACAACCCTCACCACTGTTTACTGATAAAACCACTGATTACTGTTAAACTGAGACTGATCATGATAATTAACTGAATTGACTGAAATTACTAAACTGATTGATTGATTGTGCTAGTTTAAGTGCATACCTATCTGTTGACTGTTAAAATTATTTGTTTATGTTGTATGCTTTAAACTGCAAATTGAAGACTTTATCG